ATTCCTTAAGTTTATTCTTTTCTGAGAAGCTCTTTATCTCTCCTTCAATTTTAAGTGATAGCCGAGCTTGGTAGAGCAATCTTGGTTGTAGGCCTTTATTTTGCATCACTTTGAAGATTTCCTGCCACTCCCTTCTCGCCTGCAGAGTTTGTGTGGAAACGTCACTTGTTAGTCTTATAGGAGTTCCTTTGTATGTAACCTGCTGTCTTTCTCTTGCTGCTTTCAGGATCCTGTCTTTGTCTTTAACCTTTGCCATTCTTACTATGATGTGTCTTGGTGTGGACCTGTTTGGGTTCAGCTTGTTGGGAACTCCCTATGCTTCCTGGGCTTGTATGTCGATTTTCTTCAGCAGGGTAGGGAAGTTTTCAGTCATTATTTCTTTAAATAGGTTCTTGATCCCTTGCTTCTTCTCTTCTCCTTCTGGTATTCCTATGATGCGAATGTTGTTGCGATTGATGTTGTCCCACAGATCTCTTAAACTATTTTAATTGTTTTTTATTCTTTTTTCTTTTTGTTGTTCCAAGTGGGTGATTTCTGCTATTTTGTCTTCTAAATCACTGATCCGATCCTCAGCTTCATCTAATCTACTGGTGATTCCTTTGAGTGTGTTCTTCATTTCAGTTATTGTACTCTTTAGTTCTAACTCATTGTTTTTTATGATTTCTGTATCCTTATTATGTCCTCCTTAAGTTCCTGAAACATTCTTATCATCAGTGTTCTAAACTCTGTCTCTGAAAGGTTGCATACCTCTGTTTCATTTAGTTGCATTGCTTGAGGTTTCTTCTGATCTTTTACTTGGAACATGTTTCTTTGTTTCTTCATTCTGGCTGTCGCTCTGATTGCTTCGATTTATTAGATCACCTAGAAAGAAAAGAGAAAAAAAAAAAGAGAGAAAAAGGGAAAAAATAGGAAAAAAGAGAAAAAAAAGGGAGGGGCTCTCTGCCCACTTTAATCTGCAGACCACTTGCTCAGCAATAGAGAGATTCTGGGCGACTCAGCACCAGCTGTTGGGGGGAAGGGCTCAGTTCGTCATGCGCCGACCCCCCTCTAGACTTGAAGTAAGCTTCTCACAATTAGTTGCTGTGTGCTCTGGAACTGTGCTCACCACTAAAAATCCTCACACATTGTTGCGGGCTGTCTGCTGCTGCAAAAAACCCTCTGTGGCCTGCAGAGGTAGGAGCTAAGGACCAGGGGCTCAGGGTGCCCCTGGCAACACAGCTCTAGGTGGGCGGGGCAGGCCCCCAAGGCACCACAGGGTGTGGTCAGTGGCCCCCACCAAGTCAGAGCAGCATGCACTCCTGCATCAGCAGCCAACACACACAAACTCGCCCGGAAAGCCCCGGCTGAATCACGCAGGCACACAGCTCGCCGCCGTACACTCCCAGGTAAACTCCCTGTCTCAGCCTGTCCCAATCAGCTGCTCAAAGATCAGGCCGAGCAGCCTGACAGCCAGTTGCCACCAAGACAACTCTGCACATGCAGTGCGGAAATCAGGACCTAAGGCGAGTGCGCACTCCTGGGTCTCAATAAGCAGTCTGTTGTAGTTGGTGCGCGCTTGCCTGGCGTTTCCCTGGCTACGCAGCACAAACAGTATGGAGGGTGGGGAATCCAAGGCCGCATGTGCACGCACACATGCACTCCTGCGCCAATTCCAGCAGACCAATACAGTCCCAGACCTGAGCGCCCTGAAAAAATGGCGGCCTCCTTTGCACTACTCGTGTGGAAGCTCCAACCAGGGGAACAATGGTCCCAAAAACCTCCAGCTCCCATGCCAGAGGCGCTCAGTTCAGTCCTTCCCGCAGGCTCCTGGGCTCCGCTCACAAAGCTACTCCCTCCACCAGGAACCAGGTGAGTGCTCACCAGTGAGCGAGTCAGTGTGCCGGCTCCACTGTTTCTCCAGCCGCCCCCAGCCTCACCGAGCCGAGAAAAGAGAGTCCTCACTATTTTCTCCTTCCAGCTATCGTAGAACTCTTTCCAGCAAAGTAACTCTGGGCTGGTGAGCACGGTGTGGGGCCGGAGGGTCTCGCCCCCAACCGGAGAAGCCTCCCCACTGCTGAGGTATCCCTTGCTGGGTTCGCCCTCTCTTGTCTCCACCCCTTCTATCAGACTCCACGTGGCCTCCTCTTTAAGTGCTTCGTTTAGAGGTTCTGCTCATCTAGGGTCCAGGGAACTTCCGAGGTTGAATATCTTATAAATTATTTGTAATTCTGGTGTGATCCTGGGAGGTAGTCGGCACAGCATCTGTCTATTCCATCTTACCGCTTAAAAAATATTTTTATTAAAATATAGTTAACACATTATAGGGCTGGCCAAGTGGCTCAGTTGGTTAAGAGCTCACTCAAGAGTGTGAGCTCTGAGCAACAGGGTCACCGGTTGGATTCCTGGCCCGAGCTGAGCGTCCACTGTGCTGCCAACAGGTGACCTGTCTTCCTTTATATATATATATATATATATATATATATATATATATATATATACTCAAAACACATGCATAAGGAGCTACTGTTCTACCTGATGGGAGATTTTATTTGAAATTCTACTAGATTTTATAGTTTTATGTGTCAAAAATCTGACAGCAGTGATGATTTCTTCAGAAGTATAAAATAGTACAAATTAGTGCATATTGGAAGATTTTCTGTGCTTGTTAGGACTTCCTCAGTGAAGTGCTCCTTTTTCTTCAGAAAAGAAGTGAAATAGGGAGATCTGAATTCCTTACTTTCATATGTATAGAAATTTGAATAAATATTAACTACAGCTGGAAGCTGTTCTAAGTAAAATAATGAGTTTATGCAAAAATTTAAACTGTACATGACATTTCGGTATTAATTATGCTGTCTGCAAAAAGAGAAATACAAATACCAACCATTAAATGTTGGAAATGTCATTAGGAGAAAGGCACAAGAGTATCATAAGTTTATAATTTTTCATCTGTAAATATGACTAGTACTTAGCTAATGTGATGCATTCATATTCTCTGTGAATTGTATTAAAATGCCAATAAAATGGTTATACATCTAAGTCAGTGTAAACTAAATATCTAAAGCTAAAAGTAGTTTATAACAGCTACTTCTTAATCACTCTTTTTGTCAAGCTGTTACTCTTCAGTTTATATTGCTACTTTTGGCACTATAAACAGTGTAGTGTTCTAATCCTTCATACTGTCACTCCCTGAAGTGCTTGTATCAGATTGCTGCCTACTCTTAGTTTCAATCCCATATGTGTTACAGACTGCAGGGACACGTTGGACAAGAGTTTGAAATTGGTATTAGAGATGGATACTATTTTTTCATCTTATGAAATAATTGAAGTAGTTAAAAAAAAAAAGATACTTGGTCAGAAGAGAGGTGTGCAATCTCTAGAGCTCACACGATGTGTGTGGAGGCTGAGGTGCCCAGTCCCTGCTGTGGGCACTGAATACCCAGTAATGGGTGGTCTTTAATGGGGTTCTGTGGTAAGAGTGAACAAAGGCAATATGATGAGTCTTCCGTATGCGGTGTGTCCTAAAGGGTCTACATACATGAAAGAGCTGTAGTTCCTGGTCTTTAGCAGCATATCATTTTTATTGAGACTTAATCAACTATTATCATGGGCTCCGAGTGACAAGGTAAGTTATTTACCTCTTAAAGCTTTGACTTCCTAATTTGGACAGGTTGGATGATAGCTTACTTTTTTGTATGATGGACTTACACATGCTATGAGGTTTCTCTTCCCCCCATTTAAAAAAAAATAAAATCGTCTTATTGGACATCAAAAATGACTGTTATTCCCAATGTTTTGTAGGAACTGTGTAATAATCGTGCCTTTATTCCTATTCTGAGATTCAAAGGGTTAGGTCATTCACTTATCACTAATTTAATGTTCTTTTTACACACCACACACACACACACACACACACACACACACACACACACACACACACAAACTGTTCTATATGTCCTATATCTGATTTTCTGGAAATATACATTATTAGAATAATATTATAAGTATATGGACATATTTAAAAAATAATAATATCCTTTCCCTGAGGATTTAAAGCCTTAAATACTCTTTGGTAGAGGATATAATACAAACATTAAAAAGTATTCAGGTAACATTCAAGTAGTTTTTCTCTTCTAAATATGGTGCTTAGTTAGGGATGAAAAGTTATTGAAACCAAGAGTCTCTAAGATAGCCATGCACTGTTATAAGTAACAGGTAGCATATCTCTTAACAGAAGGAAACACCACAACTTACTTTTTCTTAGACACAGTCCTTTCAATATAATTGTCTACATAATCATTATTAAATCTATTATACTTTGAGGCTTTGTTTGAATAGTGTGTTTGATGTATTGATATAACAGTCAAAATTTACAGAGTTCTTATTGTGTGTCAAGCAATGTGCTAAATGCATCGTCCATTTGACATCTGGTGTGATCAAAACTCTATGGTCAAAATTCATTCTTCTCATTGATTCTTAATTCAATCATGTTCTATGAAAATCTGATAGGTGAGAAACATTTCAAAGTCAAATACATATTAAAATAGCCTTTTGTTTCCACATTTGCAAATCAAAAAGGCATAAAAGAAATCCACAAATACAACTTGGGAATTTCCTTTGAACTTATTAATATAAACTAGCATATTGAAATGCACACAGATCAATTAATTTGTAAAGGTGTTTCTCTTTTTAAAGTTCATTCATTTCCCAAAGGATTGTATCTTTATATTTATTTTATAGCTGGTTCTGTAAAATATTTCCAAAAGTTTTAAAATGCTTTATACGAAAGCATTAAATGCTTTCTCTACCTAATTGCTATGCAAAGTGTGCTGTTTGGACCAACAATATCAATATCTTCAGGGAGCTTATTAGCAATACAGACTGTGAGGCTCCACCCAAACCTATGAAATCAAAATATGCATTTTTACCAACACTCCCACTATTCATACGCACATTTGATAAGTTCTACCTACTATTAAAAGTAAATTTAAGTGCTTTAAATAATTCTATTATTTTTATAAGGTCATAGAGAGAAAAATATCATACAGAATGTTAATATAAACATGTAAGAAAATATTCAACTTTTCTTTAAATTAGTGATATTTTTAAACATTGTGTGAATTGATTTATGTTATGCACTTGCACTTTGAAATGTCTGGAATATATTTAGAATTACATGTTATATAGAGATTTAAAAATTTTTTATGCATTGTTGAAAACATGAATGAGAAAACTTGAGGCAAATTTAAAGAGAGCACTCCTTTGCTGCTTAAATTTTCTTATACCACAAGGGGGCGCTAATGCTTTTGATTTGCAATACTAAAATTTTACAGCTAGATAAAATTAAGTTTTCAAACAGAATGAATACATATAATATATAAGTAAAACGCACACAGGACAAAATTGTGTAGGTTATTAAAATGGAAAGCTGGTTTGTCAATTACATTTGTTTTACGAGTTTCTTTTTATGTAAAAAAAACCTTCATATTTCTGTTATTTTTTTTTTGAACTTTACAAAGTTTAAAGAAAATATTTAGCATAAAAACACTGAAGAAAATTTGCTGACATATGAACAGAGGCTATCCCATGAGACTAGCATTAAGCAGATTATTCTCCTCGTCTACACGCTTTTCTGTATTTTTTATTTTACTTTGTACCATGGTCGTGGGAGATTACATTTACAATCAGCAAAAAAAAAAAAAAAAGTTAAGGAAGGATGGGAAAGAGAGAGAAGGGTGAGAGGAAAGAAGGAAAGAAAGGGGGGTGGAGGGAGGTTGAATGATTCGTTTTGCACTTATTTACCAAGATGTTTTGTGGCTAATACTCAAATTTGGCTTGAAACTTAGAATGATTTAAACATATTCAGGACACATGAAACAAAGCATTTGATGTCTTGCAAATAGGATTAAATAAAATTGACAATGTCTGGATAGCCCCTAAACTTTCTTATCTTCACACTTTACATACTGAGGCTACAAGGAAAGTATGATAACATGACTTCCTTTGGAGTTCCTGCTTAAATCAGTGCCACAGTGGACATCCTTTCAACAGAAACTCCTTACTGAGTGAGACTAAATCAAAACCAGTAGAAATGTGTTCCTCCAGCAGGATATTATGATTCTTTTAAATCAGTGTGACACCCTTAATGTGCTTGCATTACTAAATCTAGAACGAACTTGGTGGCCTTAGAAGTAGGTTTCTAAGAGGCTTCATTAATGTGCTAAAAGTCATTTAGCCCCAGGAGCTACAGCAAAATATTTAGAAAAATACATCTGTGGTTCAGTATAGATAAAATACGACAAGTCAGTGTAGGTTGATTTTCCACTACTGATCTACAGTCTGAAGAGTTTAACTAGTTAGCAGGTTTTGCCTTGGTTGACATCTTTTTGCCACTAGTATGTAAAACATACCTGAATATCACTAATATATTTGAATTTCATTTAGTTGCATTTCTAGTCAAAATTTGATCCATTGCTCTTTTAATTTTGACAGAAAATGTTCCTTAGAGGAAAAAAAATACATATTGTTCAAAAGTTAAAGTCAAATAACTGATCACAGTTGGAGTATTTGCCAGTGTTAGTCCCCAGTTATGTAATGTGTAAATAATCAAACCTGTTTCTTTGTTAAGGGGTAGAGCTCTTTAGATGCTGAGAAAGCATACGCTTCCCTCATTAAAAGAACCCAGCATGAGTCTTGCAAAATGGCGCCGAAAATAATTTTTCAGAATGTCCAAATGAGAAGGAGTAACATGTATTTAGGTGGTTGGTGCTTCATACTCTTCCCCTTTGAGTCCTTCTCCCCTTAAGGTTCTGAGACTTTATTTGTTATCACCAAACCTGTGTGCATCGTCCAGCTGCTCCCAGATGCCGAAATTGGTGTGTCTTGGTGGATTTTGCCATGTGACAGAATTCCTAAACAAAAATGGAAATAATTGATGACAGCAGAATTTTTGTAAAAATTCACTTTTCCAGAGCACGTCCATTCTTACAGATGCGAATAGAAGGACTGAACAAGTATAGTAGTTAGGCGTAACTTAATTTATCTTATCATAATATAAAAACACATTAGTTCCAAAGGACCTAATACAGAGAAATTACTTTCTAAATGGCTGCTCATAAGAGTATTAAAATATAAATCCATAGTAATACAGAAACTAAAACAAAACTACAATTAATGAGTGGCAAAGTTGACATACAAGTATGTATAGTGAGAGAAGACTTTTCACTCCCAGAACTGTAAAGACTGTCTTGCACAAAATCCCTCCAAACCAAGAACTTAGTTTTTCTTAAATAGAGAAACAAAATATCAGCACATTAAGGGATACTGGAAATCACCCAAGTTCTGCCTTCTAAAGTTATAGGAAAGATGAAAAAGAAGAGGAAGAAGAAGAGGAAGAGAGAAGGAAGGAAGGAAGGAAGGAAGGAAGGAAGGAAGGCAGGAGGAAGGAAGGAAGACTTGCTAGTGCATCTCATTGGCAGAACCAACTTGCATCCAGAGAGTAAAGTAGTTCTCAGTCTTCTAACTCCTGTGAAACTGGGAAAAACATATAAAAGGATAGGAAGGGGTGCTGAGCAGAAATAGACAACAGAGAAAACATAGGGGAGAAAAGGAATAATTTGCAGGAAGGAAAATATTAGGTATATTAGATGCCTACCATGCATGAGAAGCTGTAAAGGGCTTTACTTAAGTTATTTATTTAATTTAATATATTCAACAACCTTGAAACTATCATCATTTATACTGTGACTTAGATAATTTAAGTAACTTGCTCAAGTTCACGTAACTAGTAAATGATAGAGTAAATATATAATATTTGAATCAATTTTTCTCTGAATCAGAAATTGATTCCCTAGTCACTATATATTGCTAACCTCAGTGAATTATTCAGATATATTTAAATTATTACCCATTTCCAAATCGCCACAGTGATATTTTTCAATGTATTAATCCAATTCCATTTTTTAAAGGTCAATTAAGTCACGTATTTAAATGGTTCTCAACTAAAGTATCAATCTGTACTCTTATGTTATCAATGACTATAACAAATTCTGTAGTTTGTAACTAGCAATACTTGAAGAGCCTAAGATTATAAACGATGCCTTTTTTCAGATTAGAATACATTCAAAGTTTTGGTAAAACATCATTATCTCACTTCCATTCCATTCTGCACTCCGGAGTGGTAGAGATGAGCTGGCTATCTGCAGAACCCTACAGAACATACTATTATTTCACCAATCCTACACTCAGTGTGAGTGGCTTTTCCGGACAGTTATGAATCTTAACGTATGTTACTTGTGATTAAGTTAAAAAAAAAGTGCAAAACTTTTCAAAAAATTCTGGATATACCTATAGAAGTATATGTCACCTATGTGAATGTGATCTGTCATGTGAAGGTAACATTTTTATCATGGAAGAAAAATGATTGAAAGTGACTGATGTAGAATATTGAAGACAGATTTTTCTGGCTGTGGATTCATTAATGCTTGACGCATTAAGTCTTTTTATTCAACAAATATGTATTATATGCCTACTGTTTGTAATGCATTGCATAGGTAGAATTAGAAAATCTGCCCCTAATTCTGAAATAGCACCTCAAACTAATCGGATTTGCTCCATTTTGCCCCCTAAACTCATTTGAAATTGTTGCCCAAAGCCCTGCATCCTGACTGAATTCTCAAGGAGAAAAAGAGGTGATCAAAGAATGAAGGCACACAAGAGGAGATGAGCAAAGCAAAGTATTCATATGGGTATCTGTTTTCCTCAATAGGGGGCATTTTATCCCACCAACTGAGATGTATATATCTTTCTGTGGAAATTCTACTTCTATGCATATAAACATACACGTCAGTATCTGCAATGTCCAGTCTCTTAGGCATCAAATACACAGAAAGAGCAAATGCATCACAAAGAGAACAGCTGGGAACCATTACTCATATGCATCGCCAGGATCAAGGTAAAAAACTCCGCAGGTGGAGTGTTCTCTGACAAAATAGTCCAGAAATCTGGGAAAAGAAACATTGTTTAAAACTTAGGTCTTAAAATAAATCATGACTGTAACTTCCTTTGGTCTTGGTTTTCTTCCTTCCTTTCTTTTTTTGAACCTGGTTCTTATTGCTTAAAAATGGAATATTTGGCATGATAAAAATAATAAACATGAATTGAGTTGTGATGGGACTTAAAGGATATCATAAAGAACATAGAATTCGGTAGAGCCCTTTTTCCTCTGCTTCTGCAGTTTATCAACATACCAACATCAATTTTTTTTGTTTGTTTTCAAGTGGTGATGTGGAAAGAGGACTAGATGAAATGGAATTCCTGGAATCGAATGCAGACCTGTCATTATGCAGATAGGCTCCGGAGGTTGCTTCCTCTCTCTAGACCTCAAATATTAAGATGTCTGAACTGAGATCCTTTAAATCACAAAATTCTGTGTTTGAGCTTGATGCTCAGCATTGGGCTGCCCGCGGAAACTTGAAAGCCTAAAATGTGAACTTAGGTTGCCCTTAGGATGCTTATAGTTCAATTTATTGAGCAAAATATGGAGAAAAATGGTGTGGTGAACAGATCTGCAGAATAGAGAAAGAAAACTACCATGTTTAGCAGTGATGGAACAAGTGGGAAAAAACTTTAAAAGGTAGGGAGGAATTTTATGGAGTAATTTGTAGATTTTGTTGGATCAAGAGAGGGATAAAAGACATTTTCCATATATGGTTAGATGGACATCTGGATTCTCATATTGGATAAAAGGTGTATTAGGTAAAATATTGAGGAGACAGCTATGTTGTTTGTATTTTGTTTTCTATATGTTGAAACACTAAGGTATTATCTATCACAGCATAACAAATGATCCTAAAACCTAGTGGCTTAAAACTACAAACATTTATTATCTTAATTTTGATGGATCAGAAATTTGGGATCAGATTAGCTGGGTGCTTTTGGCTCAGGGTCTGTTATGAGGTTATAGTCAGGATGGCAGCCAGGTTGGATGGGGGTGGTGGTGCTGGGTTGACACAGAGGCTCACTCGCATGGCTGTGGGCAGGAGGCCTTAGCTTCTTGTCCCATAGACTGCTCCACAAAGCTGCAAGTGTCCTTATGACACGGTGCTTACTACCCCCAAGAGTGAGCAATCCAGGAAGAGAGAGAAAGAAAGATGAAGAGGCAGAGAGACAGACAGAAGCAGAAGCCACATGTCTTTTATGAGTCAGCTTCAGAAGTAACACACTATCACTCCTGCAATATTCTGTTAGTCACTCGGTTCAACCCTGAAACAACGTGGGAAGGGGCAGAGTGTGAATACCAGGAGACAGGCTCACTGGGGAGCATCTTGAAGGCTGGCTGCGACAAATACTAAAGCCAACTATAATACTAAGAACTGAAGACAGATGAGATTTTAATTCTAAGTACAGTGAAAACCTTGGATTGCAAGTGACTTTGTTTGTGAGTGTTCCACAAGATGAGCAAACATTTCTAATACTTTTTAACTTGGTAAATGAGTGATGTCTTGCAATACGAGTAGTTTGTTTCTGCAACGAATTATGCTCGCAAACCAAAGTATTACTGTATATATATCGGGGTGCCAAAAAATGTCTACACGTTTTAAGAGATGTTATCTATGCTCAAGCAGTAGTTCGCCATAATCAGAAGTGTCTGGATGCTGATGGGAACCACTTTGAGCACCTCTTGTAATTGCAGAAGTCAAATGTGACTTGTATTCATCTTTTGTCACCAGTATATATTATTACAATTTTAATAGTCTTTTTCCTTTCTTAAAATGTGGATACATTTTTTTTTGGTACCCGCTGTATATGTATATATAAAGGAGAGGAAAGGTTTTTGCAGAGGAAGACATTTAACATGCCCTTCATTACACCTTTTATTATTTGCTGAGAACAATGCAAAATATTACCAAGTCGAGCTAATCTAAAGATAAAGAATAAATCTTAAAACATATGGAATATCGTTAAAATGGGCTACAAATTCAGATACGCTGTATATTTGACCAGTTTAGGCATAAGTCCAAAAATTAAGTACTTTAAACACTGAAAGATATAAAATATTTCTGAAAAACTGGAGAAGTCTTTCTGAGCCAAGAAGCCATAAAGGGTCTATCTTTTTACTACATTACATTAATATTTGCTATCATAGAATCTAGGTTGTTGTAGCACATCTGTTACCCTAAAAATCGTGTATTTTTTTATTTTTATTTTCAAGTTTCAGTGATGATTTATAAGGCTTAAATACGGTTTAAATCTCTATTTGAACAGCAAATGCAAGATGCCCCTACCCACCTTGAAGTCAGTGGACCCCCCATAATTTTGCATAGTTGACTTGATATCCCCAGGAATACTTTCTTGCTGTATAATTCTGTATTGTTTGCCTTCTTGCCATGAGCTTTTAACTTAAGGGTTAAAATATAGGAATGATCAGACTAAGGTTGTATTTTTTTTATTTCAGCATTCAACATACATTTTTTTTCATTGGGGAACAGTGTGTTTTTCCAGGACCCATCAACTCCAAGTCAAGTAGTTGTTTCAATCTAGTTGTGGAGAGTGCAGCTCAATGGCCCATGCAGGGATCGAATCAGCAACCTTGGTGTTATGAGCACTGCACTCATGAACTTGTTGCAACGATGTTGCTAACTGTTTTTGATATCAGAGGGATTATTCATTATGAATTTGTACCAACTGGACAAACAGTTAGCCAAGTTTACTATTTGGAAGTGTTGAAAAGGCTGCGTGAAAAAGTTAGACGACCTGAACTTTTCGCCAACAATTCATGGCTCTTGCATCACGACAATGCACCAGCTCACATGGTACTGTCTGTGAGGGAGTTTTTAGCCAGTAAACAAATCACTGTATTGGCACACCCTCCCTACTCACCTGATCTGGCCCCCAATGCCTTCATCCTTAA